AAAAGGTACAACCAAGTTCAGATATCGACCGTTTGAGCTAGAAAAGGAATAAATGAAGTCAATAAATGCACTTTCCAAAATGAAAAATTTAAGCAGGAGAGTCAGACACAGCCAATACTCAATTTAGCAGCTCCTCGAGCAGCGTTTTTTGTAGAACATTTGCCGGGAATTACGTGCAATGCAGCCTGTAGCTGGAAACATTGAAACCATAGCTCTGCAGTAAATATAAAATGAAAGGGTATATAAAAAAATTTCATGACACGAATCGAAAGCGGAAATGGTTTAAGGTAACACTAGGCTCCAGTTACCTCTCGGTTTTTAATGCAAACAAAGTAGTTCTCAATGAGGTTAACCGATCGCCGTAAAACGGCCAAAACATTTAGCCGGTAGGCGTAAAAATTGCCAAATTTTAGCCGATAGTCGTGAAAAAAGTCGACTGTTAAAAAATTTCTGTTGAATGGCCAAAATTGTAATAGTTGGTCGTAAAAGCCATCACCCCATGAGACCCTCATCAGGCAAACAGAGTGATGCGCGCATGATGACTCGCTTCACAAAAGGGTTTCTTTCTTGTGTACGATATCACTTGCGCACATAATCTTCCTTTTAAAATTTAAAAGAAGCCTTTGCATGACTATTAAGTTCTAGATTCGTGTGGAAATCCGGACCAACTCCAACGAATCCGGTTGATGAAGACGTAAGATCCAAGCCGTCTGTGATCTTAAACTGATCTTATGACAGAATTATGTACAATCGGCCCATTACGTCAGAGCCTCCAATTGCTTCCAAAAACACCGAGGGATCGATATCTATTTCTACAAATGGTTCATATAAAACAAAGATTCCAAGGATTAGCTTGGCATGTCACATCAACAGACACGTCCGTTTTTTCTTTCTTCTCACGTCCTTCAATGTACAATCAAACGATTACAGGTAGCGCACTCGCAATTATTTTGAAAACTTTTCTTCCGCAGGGAAGGGTTACTGTGTGAAGATGAGTACAAATTACGTTATTATGTTGTCTGGAAACATTTGATAACCTTCAAAAGCGGAAGATTGTATTCCTTTGAACCGAAGACCGAATACTAAACAGATGACCTAAAAGCAAGAAATTTGTCTATAGATGCAACGGTTAAACCAAAACAATCAAACTACAATTTCAATACAGCCGTGCTTGCAAGACGGAGCTTGTTTTCAGCGTAAACATACTTCATTCTCATTTCTGTTAAACAGGTTCAAGTGACAAGACAACTGCTGATTAAAATGGAAACTTTCGAAGCCGCAACCACTTTGCTCATCAATCATTGCAAGATTGTCTTTGTTGAACTACGTTATCCGTGACACTGAAAAACTTGCTGTCTCCTTATAGGAGACAGAATGAAGAATGCCCCTGACTCAGGGACGATGGACCATCCCTTAAATGGGATTTTATCATCCTAATTATTGCCTTTATCAAGAGGGGATCCCTATATTCCTTATCTTGCGCGATTTGTTTTGTTTGTGAAGAAGCCACAAAAGCTATATCCTCTGAACGAAGCACATTCTTTTGTATGTGTTTTCTTCAATTTTCGAAAACTTATGTGCGTAAAAATTACATTTAATTAAGAAAGAATCGACCGTCTCCAGAGGCTAATGAAATTTCGCCATTAAAGAGAAAAAATTTCATATGACGAGAAAAATTCGTTTCCTTGCGAAGAAAGCAGTAACTTCCCGCTCATGCATGTATTAGCTGTTCAATTTATTTTGAGAAAGTGATTCCATTCTATCGATACAATTCCACTATACTCGCAAGAATTATATTGTTGATTAGTTCTTCTGGTCAATTGTCTCCAAACTGTGGCATGGATGATTTTGAAAAAAAGGATTCTGACTCCCGCACAGGTCTTGAAGAAGTCGGGATTTCGCTAGTTACTTACATCTTGATATGTTTACGACAATAGTTAGATCTTATAAAGCTTCGTGATGTGTTTGCGACTTCAGTTAGATATTAATTTCCTTTATACTATACAGTACATTCCTTCTATTGATTCTCTAACTCTGTAAGAGCTATTGGTTACTATGAAATCCTTCTTTCATTACGTTCTTTAATTTCGGACACTTATCCCGGCCCAACGGGTGTGTCATATTGCCGTTCCTCAGATTGTTCCATGTAGAAAATGCGATTCATCGAATGCGATTGCACAGAAATAAATGCATTTGCTTTAACCCTTTAACTCCCAAGATCTGATTGTTAATTCTTCCCTCTAGCTGTTACACATTTACTTGTAAATTAATTACGAGAATTTGGTGTTAGATCAAGATAACAACTTCTTCCTGATAAGTTTGAATATTCTCATGAGCTGTTTGCTGAATAATGTAAGGATACTGTAGGGAGAAGTTTCATGTTGATCACTTTCGGGAGTTAATTAAGGGTTAATGAATGTAACGTCTACGTGTTACCAGATCACCTGTGAACAATCCTCCTCCAGTTACGGAAACAATATACGTAGCACGGGCCTGGATAACAAGTTTATTAGATAATTGTGACCTATTATAGAAGAAAATTATGCTTTCCTGGGAATGTTAGAGCGTCAAATTGTCTTTTAAACAGATAACTGGCTTATACAGCTTGGAGCAAATCGTTTGTTTTGAAGGTAAAAAATATGCCCTACAAGATTCTAGTTGCTGGTATTTAAACGTTTTAAAGGAGGATGTATGCACAATCCAAATCTGCAACCCCTTGAAGTGCGTCCTTAATTTAAACAATGTTCCCATCATCTTCCTTATCTTTTGAAAAGTACTTGAACTTAAGCCCTGCTTACATAGCTCATAACCCTCTGTCTCTGATTAATCTTGGACAATAGAGTAGGAATCTTCTTTTGTCTTTTAGCAATCATCCAAGTATAAAAAAAGACCTTTCAAATGGTTGTTTAATTTCGATTTAAATCGATTTATATCCGCAGGCTTTGTAAAATGTCGAAATGTGAAAGCAATTGGACCGGGGAACTAGTCTTCTACACAGGATCGAAATATTATCACCTTAGTCATGGCTCCCTCGTAGAGGGAATGAACGGACATGAAGGGATTGACTACTCCGAGGAACTACGACAAATGGAGCTTTATAAAACACCTCTGAGGGACTGGCAACTTACCCAGCTTGTTTTGAGCCATCAGTTTGTCTTAATAGATTCACGTTCTTGGTGGTGGACCATTGAGCGAAACAATAAATGCCTCCTCCTTCAAAGGAACCGTAAGTATGACATGGTTAGAGATTATAACGAAGAATCCCTCAGAAACACTCCAGTAGAGGAAATAAAACGTGGCGATTGCAAAGGAACAATGAAAGATTTGATTTGGTATCTCTATGTGAAGAAAGAGCTAAAGAAAAAATACAATTTTGTGGATAATAATTGTAAAATATTCGCAAATGCTGTGTTCGATAGATTTGTGGTAGAGGGCACTGTCAGAGAAAGATGTTATATTATGTGAACAGAGACACTAAAAATGAAGAGCTGCTTCATAGTAATATAGGAATTACTTTCTATAGCTGTCTAATTGAACCTTTTTTCAACGTCAATTTGAACCAACAGTCTGGTCTCTTAAAGATCGCTGGTATTCAAGAAACTGCCACTCGATGATCGCTGCAATCGTTTCGGGTGAAATTTCTTACATAACTGAAGCTTCGTGTGGATTTCTAAAGGAATTTTAGAAAACTATAACCCTTTAACTCCCATGAGTAAGCAAGACAGAATTTCTCCTTACAATATCAATACAATATCATGCAGAAAAATATCTATTGGGAGATCATTAGTTGATCCAATACCAAATTCTCCAAACTAACAGCATAAGAACTATATGGCAGATGTTAAGGAGAATTACCAAAAAGATCTTGGGAGTTAAGGCGATAATCAAGAATTTCATAGCTTTATCCGATTTAGACTAATCTTTAGAGTAACTCCTAGTCGCAACTTGTTCATGTTTTTTGTTCACTTTTTAAACTTTTTAAATATTTCTGTGTGAATAATCATAAAATATAACGGACTGCGCTCATCTACAGTTTACACCAGCAATTAAAAATCGAAAGCTGATTGTTTTTTAACAAGGTAATAAAATTATTGTTAGCACCGATCTTTATCGTCGTTGTCTGTCTTACCTCATTCTTTTTCAGTGCTAGTGGATCAAAGGTCCATCAGAAGAAACTGCTTGCCATCTCGCTCTTATTTGGGCTATCTCCTCTGTTGCCTCCAGGTGTCGCCTTTTTCGCTCGCCTCGCCGTTCACGGTTTTTATCCATCTGTTCATGAAACACCACTGAATCATCTCTGCCTTTGGGTCCCACTCCGCTCAAGCTGTCCCCTTAGTATTTGGTTTTCTGAAGGTGCGCTCAATCAAACCCAAGTTGCGCCCCTAATCACTTTCGTTGTGATTCCGAATTTATCGTAACTTATTTAATAATGCATTAAACAAGGCTTCCGAAAAACAATTATTATTCAAACAGTAATTATTCAAAGAAGCAAAGCAAACCTTTGGACGTGATATAGACTATGGCAGCCTCAAGGTAGCAGCTTCACTTCGTTCGTTATGCAATGAGAAAACCGCTGTGCTAAGTGCGTCAGGTTACAAATATCAGAGTATAAGCGAAGCTTACAACATTACACCTGTCATTTAACGCCAAGCTAGGTTTCGCTTACACAATTTCGCTTGTAAAAAATTTAACGCAAAGAATATAAACGCCGCTAACTTTCATGCAAGTTAACAGAGGATAATGAATCAGTCTCTCTTTTTCTTAGTGTATAAAGGTGAACTAATGCAAGTCCAAGTGCGAATAGTATACAATACCACGAGCCACATTTTGATGAACCAAAATGAGTGCGTCTCACTTTACTTCCAATTTTATTTGGAAACAACATTTAAATAGTTTTTAGACAGAAAAAAATGTTTACATCAGTATCCCATAACAGTTGTACTGAGGGTCTACATTCGATAAAGCATTATACATGAATTACAAGGCCTATATTCGATACACATTATACATGAATGAGATTCAGTGTAACGGCAATATTGACGAATTGTGTTAAATATCACCAAGAGAACATATTCACTTGATATCAATGAAATACAAATTTTTCGCTGGGGTAAGTAAAAACTATACTCAGATTTGCGTGTTTCTACGTGTATGTCTACCCGAAATCACTCATCAGGAATAAGTCTGTTCACTAATCTATTCACTCTTTGCTCATCTAGCATTTTTTTTCTGATTGTTGTAGTTTTATTGATACAAAACTGTTTATTTTTTGTTCATTCTTAAATTTTATACTAATGTGCCACTGATTTCATTCCCTGTTACGTATTTTCGTTTCCTAATTGATCCTTTCATTGCAGAGCTCTGAAACTTGGGCGCATATCTTTAACCAGTCTTATCCTCTCATACTCTAACTACAATGATACAACGCAACAAAATAAATCACGTCCCTTAACTTAAAGTTTGAATGAACAGATTTGATCTCAGCAGCAATTAAATATAGTGTAATGAAACGGTTCAGGGTATTGACGTCCACACATCATCTGTACATAAGTTCGACGAGATAAAAACCAACGCTTGTAGTCGTTATTAAATTTATGAACAATGTTGGCAATTTACGAGATTTATAAAATCCAGGTCACTTGCTCTAGACTTCCCTTTTTGATGCCAAAATATTTTTAAAACGTAAACTATACTTATACTTCCTGAAATGTAACCTTGAAAGAGGAAGGAAAAGAGCAATTTACCAGATGAAGCCGACCGATTATTTCACCCTTTTAAGCCCTTGGTACTTGATGAGAATGAATTCTCAACGCGTGTCTGGACGCTAATTTAGACAAACGGAACGTAGATGCTGACATTCTTAGACTCCAATCCACACCTTACAGCTCACTTCTTACATCCTCGCGTGACAACAGCTGCTTAACAGGATTGGACGTTGGTCGATGTTTTGTTTTCACTATCAGACTGCGACGATGGTCTGCAAATTTTCTATCAAAGGTAAAAATACAGAGCCAGTGTCAGGACGGTTTTAGGCTTACTTGGCCTTAACTCCCGATGATGGCTTGTTCCGAGAGAGGATAATTAATCCTTTCTTGCCTGTTCAGAGTAGAAGTCATACACATACTACTTAGAAGTGAAACTGCACATATACGGACCTAGGTTGAACACTTAAAACGAATGCCCCGCTTTCATTTCCACGTCATTCTCTATTTTTTCATCTGTGATCGCTTACATTGGTACGCCTCACTATAATGCGCAGAACTAGATTGTGACTAGCTCGTTAAGAAAAAAAACGATTTTTGTTCTTACCGTATGCTTGCTCGATAACTTTCCTCGATGCCCTCGGAGGAATGGCGTCTTTTCTGTTTGTTTTTAGAAAATAAAAGAACATTGACTGACTTTCATTGACATTGACATTGACTGAATTTCAATCGTTCCAGTTACTGTAATCAATTTTACGATGTAAGCTGAAAACATTGTGACCAAAAACAACTGGAGAGTACGTTTTTTAGTAAATTTATTAAGTCCTCAAACTCATTAACTTTTGGCATGTGACTTTCGCGTTAATCGAAAAACGTGTTTTTATTCAAGAAAGCGAAGTAAACATTAAGAATGCAATTTTTACTAATTTCAACTACGTTTTTCTTCGGCCTAAAGATCATAGAAAATAACCGCCGTGGATAGTGATAAACAATATGTACGATGAAGATCAGCGACGTCGTTCTTTTTATTACTGACCACTACTCGATGACTACCCGCCTCTTTCGGTTTGGGTTTTCCAAATATGTTTTCCAACTCGGCTTTAAGAAGACCTTTGCTGCCATCTTGTTCGTCTGACGCCTGCATCTACATAAAATACAATGACGGATAATTAAATTTTACATATTCTATCGTAGTTCAGGTACTGAAAGTTTAAGTTTTAAAAGAGTGCGCGAAATATATCGAGGGCCTGACTTTCACAAGATTTAAAGCTTCATTTCTAGTTGGAAGATCATATAAAATATTCAAGAGCACATTTAAATGTTTATACAGCAAAGATACACTGAGGACTAAGTATCAGTTAAAACGTTTCAGTCTATACGTATTAAAAAATTTGGCAAGACGTGGTTGATACGTAATCTTGTTTGCAGCATCAGAGCAAGTTGCTAAACAATTCACAAGAAGCTTTGAACTACTTGACAGCGAACAGATCCTTTCGTAGATTTCTTAATTACGTTCGGGTTAGTTCATTTAAATTTCTAAAGCGCAACTTAAACTAAACCTTAAAGTTTTCGAGCAAGGATCGCAGTAAATAATATCCTTGTCAGCACCTTTGGAAATGTCCAAAGAACAGTATGGAATATACGCAAACTGATTTTAGTTTAAAGAAGAAGTATCCCACCTTATCTTTGTTGCTCCCTCGAGTTGCCCAGTCAGGTTTTGGATACTCGTACTTCTTCTTCTCCTCTATCTTTTTAATATCTCCTGCAGTAGGTTTGGTGACGGAGCATTTTCCTTTGCTCCATTTGGGTCTTGCTTCTTTCCAGTAATCTTTCGCTTTGGGTTTGGGTTTCTCAGGGATCTTGGGTTTATCGACAGGGTTCTTTCCTTTCGCCCAGTCCGGCCGCGCCTCCTCCCAATACTCCGACTGCGTCTTGGTGGGTTTATCGGCCTCCTTTTTTCGTAAAGAAGCCGTCTTCCACTCGGGCTCCGGCTTAGTCTTCGGCTTAGTCTTCGGTTTTGCTTCGAAATGTTCATTTGGTTTGCCAGTGAGGGAACCTGTCGACTTAAGTTCTCTGGCCGAGCGGGCCCATTCTGGATCCTAAGAATAGGACGAGATAAAGTAACAAAGTGTCGCTGTTCACTAACTATTACAAGATCTCGTTTCTGGCGGGCGTGACAGAAAGCTGCCGGAACTTTCAGTTTCTTTTCATTTCCCAAGTAAGTTGTCGAAACGCACGGTAACCATGAGAGTCTCTGTCGCAGCCGTTGTTTAGTCTCGTCATGCAGAGCGCGTAATGCGCGCAGTGTACGAGGGACAAGATCAAACAACAAATGCGAAAGAGACGAATTATCCATATTGAGATGTGGAAAATCTGAGTACGCCTGAAGGAAATGGGTTAAATTTGGATGAAAGCCCGAATATGCGTTCAACTAATTTTGTAAAGATCAAGACACCTTTCCCCCTGCGCCGCTTAGTAAACGGTTGTGTTTTGCAATTAAGTTGAAAGTGCTGGGAAGGGAAAATTAAGACCGTCACGAAACTATGCCCATTTCCCCTCCTTTTCCCGTTAACTGGCCTACTTTTTTTTTTTTTTTTCATGCAACAGAGTACTTTGGCTGCTAAAAAAAACGCGCCGAGCCCTTACGGAAATTAACCAGAATCAAGAAGCCCACATGCGGAAAAAAATAAAATAAACAAAATGGTGAATTACTAGAAAAAACAACTTTATTGAATTAGAGAAAAAATAAATGCCATACAAAGGCTACGATTCTGTTATAAAATACAGCCCGATTACAAGATACAGTTCACTTTAAAACTTTCTCATGATGCTTGTTTCAAACAAACTAACCACATAGAAAACAAATAGTCGATTAACCAATCTAAGACAACTCAGGTCATAACTTTTAGAGTAGCATTTTCAGTGGCATTTTATAATTTCATCTCCCTTTCGCCCTCTTCCTGGTAGTAATCAATCGAGCAACTATCGATTCTGAGTTGGATTTAATAACAATACAATGATACTTTTCTTAATTAAGGAAGCTGAAAGAATGATTCAAACCCTTTTTTCTCCATAAAGTTCAGATCTTGCTTTACTTTCTAACTATTCTAGAAGTTATTTCTCTCCACATTATTCCAATAAGAAGAGGCATAGAGGCCTGGGAGAAATCAGCGCTCGATTAGAGACCATTTAATTTGAGAAATGATTGGAAGCAAGTGTAGGAAAGCTTACAGCTGAAAGTAGGACTCATAACAGTTTCACCAAGATCGGCAGTTTTCTGTCTAATTGCCAATGACACCTTGATCAAAAGGGCAGACTCTAGAACCTAACCAATTCAAATTCTTGACGAGAAAGGAGCTTTTCTGATCTGACTGTCCCAGCCCTAGTCTCTCAGAAATGTCTCAGCTCTGCACAAGGTGGAGGAGGAGCCTGGAGAGTTTTATGGAGGTATGAGGGTTTTCACATAACATCAAATAAAATTAGTTGCACTCCTGCACTCATTTTGAGGTTTCTTCTAAAGGTCCGGCTCAACTATAACATCTTTACAATGAAAAGATTCCACGGGCTTAGAAAAAAAAATTCCAAAAAAGAGCCTAAAAACCTGGCTTTTAGAACAAAATTGCTTACATTAATCAAGTTTAAGTAAAAAACTACCCTAGACCAGTTGAAGTTTAATCATCTTCATCGTGCCTTCCAGTGGTTTTCAAACTGACGCCTTTCCACTCTGGATCACCCGCTTCTCCGTCTACACCAGGACTTTTCGGGGCCTTCTTTAGTCCATCTCGCCAGTCCTGCCTCTTAGACTCGCCAAGATCCCCTCCTTCTTTCTTCTCTGTCTTCTTGAGAGCCACCCTTCCTGACCAGTCGGGTTTCTTCTCTCCGTCCTTCTTCTTATCGTCACCCCATGGCTTGTTACCTCCCTTCTTCAGTTGGGTCTTTGCCCAGGCGGGCGCAGCCTCCTTCTCTTCCTTCTTTTTGTCTTTCTTGTCCTTTTTAAGGCCAGTGAGCAGAGGGCTGTCTGTGCGCTTGACACGGTTCATTTTACTCATGAGTTCCTCGCTCATCTGTTAAACAGAATTTCTCAATGTTAATAGCTGTGGGCTAGATTGATTTGGAGATCAGTTCATGATTTCAGAGGAAAAGTTTGGTTGAGTTTGCTCAACATTCACGTATCGCAAATGAAGGTTTTAAAATCGAATTGCTCAACACTGAGCTTTTTCATTCCCGTTCAACGAACCTTTTTTATTTCCATCTGATCCACATTCCATCACAGAATCCTTCATCAGAAAGGTTCTTCTTCTTCGTTGCTTCTTTTGAAGGATGTTATTGACACTAATTCACTTGCCGAAGTTACGATCAAACGTCACAATTAATCAATGATTCGCAGTTGTCGATAATAATCGAAACGAAACGAAAATGCAACGAAACATCGATGTTGGTGTAGTTTTTCGATCCCGCTGAAAACTACAGCTTCCATTCGAAATATCATCCCCGAAATTAATGGGTAAAGTTCAGTTAGTTCGCCTCGCTACTCGAGATGTAGCATAACCACTGCAATTTTGGGGCGTAAGCTTTAGTAACCAACCCCATAAACCAGGCGATGAAATTGAAACAGAGAAGACTAATAAGTTCGTTTCAGAACCCACAAGAAAACCCTCGAAAGAATTCCGCATTTCTATTGCTATATACACGAAATGAATTAGCAACAAGACGGTTGACCTGGGAAAATCCTTCGAACGCCATATCACCATCGCATGAAAAATTATATGTTACTAAGCAAGCCTAAGGAACTCACGCTCATGAAAGTGATATTTGCTTCACCCAATAGAACACTGAAAATAGTTGGCAAGAGAAAATTACCTTATTAGACTCCTTTTGCTTGGCCTTCATGGCCATGAACTTCTCTTCCCACGCCGCAGCTTGAGCTTTACGCACCACGTTTACAAAGTTTCCTTTCTGTTGGAAAAATCAGGGTATATTCTTTTAAAAATTATTCGCCAAAGGCGACGCGAATATTGCAGGACAATTCTACACGCTTTACTGAACATAAGATTACAATCAATTTACTTCAATTTTTCTTTGTCAACGACTTAAATAAATCACCCGGTGGCCATTTTGAAAAATAGTACTGCGAAATATGATATTTTATGCCTAGCCATAAAAGGTAAAACCAATCAGAGAACAGGTAAGCTGTTGTATAATCGACAGTGTTACTCTCTTCCTTCCCGTCATACTCTGCGATCTCATTCTCGGCGAAATTTAATAAGCTGTGTGATATCCCGTCTTTTTCAAGGATTGTTTTTTGAAGAATTTCCTTTTTTTTCACTCTTTTTCTGTAGTTTTTATCATTTTTCTTTGCTTTACTATGGTTAAGCTGTTCACAGATTCTGTACTCGAACTAACAGCTCCTTCGAAACTCGTCCTCAGACCCCTAATGAATTGGCGCGTGAGAGATTTACAGAGGTTTTTTGTTAATGCCAACTGGTTAAAACATACTAAACGCACCTTTGGTGGAAGAGTCTTCTTCTGTTTGGGTGAAATGCAAAGAGAAAGAAATAGATAAATTTTGATTTGATACGAACCAACAAATACAACAATGTGTGGATCACTGGATCATTAATTCAAATACAAATGGCAAGCTCTTGTAAATGGTAACTGTTACTTACAGCTGTTCTTTGCGGTGCCACCTTCCTG